TCATCTAGAGAGAGGAAACATCAACTGAGAAAAATGCCTCCATCAAATTGGATTATAGGCAAGTCTGTGGGGCCATTTTATAGATTAGTGATTGATGTGGGAGGGCCCCATCTACTGGAGATGGTGTTATTCCTGGTTGGGTGGTTCTGGGTTGTATAAATAAGCAGGCTGAGCAAGCCATGGGAGCAAGCTAGAAAGCAGCATTCTTCCTGACCTCTGCTTCAGCACCTGCCTCCAGGTTCCTACCCTGAGTTCCTGCCTTGGCTTTCCCTTGATGCTAGTGTGTAACACATAAGCCAATTAAACCATTTCCTCCAAAGATTGCTTTTGGTCACATTGTTTAATCACAGCGATAGAAATCCTAACTCATACAGGGCCTTTGACTGTACTGCCAGCTCGGTCATGTGGTTGAACTAACTGGCCAGTGAGCTCCAACGATCCTCCTGTCTCCACTTCTCCAGTGCTAGGATTACAAGGGTGTGTCACCATATCTGGCTCTTTTACATGCTAAGTAGGGATTGAATTTAGATCTTCATGCTTGTGCAGCAGGCACGATGTTTGGAAAGGAATGGAACCTTTAGGAGACAGAGCCTTACTGGAGGAAGTGAGTCACTGAAGGAAGGTCTTGAGGCTTTGTGCCTGGCTCCACTTCCAGCTCATCCTCTGCTTCCTGAGTGCAGATGTAATGTGACCAGCCAGCGCTTGCTCCTGCTCCTGCCCCTGTGTCTGTCTCCCCTGCCGTGATGGAATGCATTCCTCTGTAACTGTGCTGTGTCTCCCCTGTCATGACAAACTATACTCCTCTGTAACTGTAAGCACAAATCAACCCTTTCCCTCTTAAGCTGCTACGTCAGAGTATTTAATCACAACAGTTGAAAAGTAACTAAGGTAGCCTCTTACCAATTCCTTAAACCTCCTAGTTATAGCTATAACCTTTTTCTTTCCTAAAAGTTCAGATACCAGGCATTAATTTTTTGCTGGATTATTTTGGCTGTACTGCATGTTGAACAGAGAGTCTCAGCTTGACCACTGAGCTTTATCCCCAGCTCTCTGTTTCCTCTTCCCCTCTCCCCTCTTCCTCCTTTCTTCCCTCTCTCCTTCCTTCCTTCCTTCCTTCCTTCCTTCCTTCCTTCCTTCCTTCCTTCCTTCCTTCCTTCCTCCCTCCCTCCCTCCTTCCTTCCTTCCTTCCTTCCTTCCTTCCTTCCTCCCTTCCTCCCTTCCTTCCTTCCTGTACCTTTAATTTTGAAACCCCAAAATTGGCCAAGCTGTTTGAACTCGGTTTGCAGACCAGGAAAATCTGAAGATGTTCTTGCCTCAGGTTCCTGAATGCAAATGATTTTAAATATGAACCAGTATTCCTTTAATTCTTCCACAGCAAAATCTCATCTTCCCACCAACAGCATGACCCAAGAGGAAGACCAGCACATCTTCTCTGTCTTCCCCTCTTGTGACAACTAGCTCAGAAGAAAACCAACATCAGCTAAGATGGGCAGTTATCTGGAAGAACAACTTCTCTCTATATGCCATTGAAAAATAAACGCTTTTGGGATTGAAGAGATAGATTAGTGGTTAAGAATGCTTGCTGCTATTGTGGGGGACTGGAGCTCAGTTCCAGCACCCACACCTGGAGCCTCATAACCCCACCTGAAACTCCAGCTTCAGGAGATCTGACGGCCTCTTCTGGCCTCTGTGGGCACCTTGCATGTTTGTGCATGTATACACACACACACACACACACACACACACACACACACACACACACAAAATCTAAAAGTAAATGTCTGCTTCCCATAATTGTCTAATGTTTTAGGCAAAAGCTTTCTTTCTTATATATGCTTTTTCTGTATATTGAAAATAGATGTTTTTTCACATAATGTATTCTGATTACAGTTTCCCCTCCCTCCACCCCTCCCAGTTCCTCCTCCTCTCCCCCTTCCCATCTACATTCCCCACTTTCTGTCTCTCATTAGAAAACAAATAGGCTTCTAAGAAATAATAATAAAGTAAAACAAAACAAAACAAAAACTAGCACATTGGAATAAGACAAAATAAACAAACAGAAGGAAAAGATCCCAAGCAAACAATCAAGAAAGAGATATAGATGCAGAGACCCACTCATTCTCACACTCAGGAATCCCATAAAAAAACATTAAACTGAAAGCCATAATATATGTGCGAAGAACCCTTAGGGTTAAAAGAGAGAAGGAAAAATATAAATAAAATAAAAATGAATTTAAAAATAAGATTAAGAAAGTAAAATCTCTGACACAATATCATGAGACAAGGAACCTCCAGAGATGCCTTTGAGTTCATTTTTTGTTGGCCATCTACTGCTGGGCACAAAGCCTATCCTTAAGAATAGTTGGTTTCAACAGGTGGTGGTGGCACACACCTTTAATCCCAGCACTCAGGGAGGCAGAGGCAGGTGGACCTGTGTGAGTTCAAGGTCAGCCTGGTCTACAGAGTGAGTTCCAGGACAGCCAGAGCTACACAGAGAAACCCTGTCTCAACCTGCCGACCCCCCACCCTCACCAAAAAAAGAGGTTGTTTCCCCAGGGAGACGCCTTTGGAAAAAACTAAATTTTCATTTGCAAGTGGTTATCCATTGGAGATACCTTCTGAATTAGGCACAAGGGCATGTGTCCACTTCTTTCAGCTGAAGGACCCCATCTGATGCAGACCTGTGCAGTCCCTGTGCATGCGGTCTCGGACTCTGTGAGTTCTTTCGTGTGTCAATCCTGTTGATTAGAGGGCCTTGTTTTCTTGGTGTCCTCTATCCCCTCTGGCTCTTATACTCTTTCTGCCTTCCCTTTGGAGGGGTTCCCTGAACACTGAGGGAGAGGATTTGATGTGTTCCAAGGTCTCTCACTCATTGCATAGTGTTCCCATCAGCTGCTGAGGAAGCTTCTCTGAAGAAGGCTGAGCAAGGCGCTGAGCTGCTTCCTTGGCAAGAATGTGTATGTGATTCTAATTTGAGGCGAATCTGCTTGTGTTCTCAACAGAGCAGCCGTAGACATGTCACTGATGGCTATTTAGATGGGATCGTTCCCCTACCTGTTTTTGGACTTAGCATTCTACACCCTAAGGATATTGTGGTTGTTTGGCATCACATTCGTAATATAGTTTCATGTTTTGTAGTATGTCGTGGGTATTTCTTCTGAGTGTGGCATGATCACTGTCATCATAGAGAAGAGACTGCTGTAGGGAATGACAGAGTACCTTGCACCGCCTTCCAGTCTAAACAGTGAAATAAGAGAGCACAGGGGTATCTAGGGCATAGTCATGGTGACAAAACTTCCAACACCCCCTCATAGACATGGGTGGAGTGGGAGGAGAGGATCTCTAGGATTTCATCTGAGATGCTACCCACCACCCCCTCCTGCCTTCCAGCTCCACTTGGCCTTGGTAGGACTGATACAGTATATAAGAAGTAACAGGTAGACAGGGAGGGGGAACTTTAAAGATGCTACTGCTGTGTGTCATCACCCATGTGCCTGTAAGCAGTCCCTTACTCAATGAGCTCATTAGTTCATTATGCTGGACTTGAATGGAACTGTTTCTTTGATCTGTTATTGCCCTGTCAGGGTGAATAGATGCTTCTTTATGTCTCCTCCAGAAAAGTTATGCAACAGAGCTTCTTAAAATTAAGAACATCATTAAGACTAGAAACAGGTGTGCATACAAGTGAAGTGTGTGTGTGTGTGTGTGTGTGTGTGTGTGTGTGTGTGTGTGTGATGTGCAGGTGAAAGTTTATGAGCCTTGGCTCATTGCTGATTTGCTTTGCCTGTTTCTTGCATGTGGATGGATATACAATCCCCCAGCTAACTCCTGTGGCTCTTTACTGCCTCTGTCTCCATTGTGGACTCTCCCTCTGGGAACTATAAGCCAAAATAAGCACTTTTTTCCATAAGTCACTTTTCATCATGGCGTTTTACTATATCAACAAAAAGTAAGGAATATGCTACCCTATCATGTTATGGACACCATGCCTTGCTTTGTGGCGTTTACTAGACCATGGTTTCCACGATTCAAAACCACCCCAGCTCATTCTACCAAAACTCAGAACATGCCTATCTCATAGAGACTGAACCATGACAGTGCCTGGCAGAGTCCAAAGAGGGTGATTGTTGGTAGATTCTGATTATCCAGCTTCTGAATCTGTAAATTCACATCTGAGATAAAATGGAATGCAAGGTCTAGATCCTCAGCTCTGGGCATGCCTGCTTCCGGGTTGTGACAACAACACAAGACGATGTGCAGGAAGATGAGGGGCTGATGAGATGGTCCATCCAGTAGAGGTGCTTGCTGCCAGCCGACAACCCAAGCTCGATTCCTGGGACCTCAATGGCAGTTGTCTTTGGACCCTCGTGCACACAGGATGGCATCCCTGTGTTCCCTCCACCCCTGATACCACACACAATAAAATAAACAAAAATTAAAAAATTTACAGATGTGAGAAGATGAGCAGTGGAAGTAATATCTTCGTTAGCATAATCCAATATGGAAAGGGTGAAAGATTGAGAAGTTGTGCTAATTGTCCCCATTGCTGCAGTCAAATAGCCAACCAGAAGCAACTTGGAAGAGGATGTTTTATTTTGGCTAAAGTTTAAGAAGAGATACAGTCTCACATCAGGCAAGGCATAGCAGCTGGAACAGCTGGGGCAGATGGAGCAGCAGGGGCAGGTGGAGCAGCTGGAGCAGCAGGGGCGGCTGGGGCAGTAGGGGCAGCTGGGGCAGTAGGGGCAGCTGGGGCAGCAGGAGCAGCAGGAGCAGCTGGAGCAGCAGGAGCAGCAGGGGCAGCTGGGGCAGCTGGAGCAGCTGGGACAGCTAGGGCAGCAGGGGCAGCTGGGACAGCTAGGGCAGCAGGGATAGCTAGGTCAGCTGGAGCAGCTGGGGCAGCTGGGGCAGCTGGAGCAGCAGGGGCAGCTGGAGCAGCTGGAGCAGCAGGGGCAGCAGGGGCAGCTGGGGTAGCAGGAGCAGCAGGGGCAGCTGGGGTAGCAGGAGCAGCAGGGGCAGCAGCGGCAGCTGGAGCAGCTGGGCAGCTGGAGCAGCAGGAGCAGCTGGGGCAGCTGAGCAGCTGGAGCAGTAGGAGAAGCAGGAGCTGGTCACATTGTATATGCAGCCAGGAAACAAAGACTTGATAGGATGTGGAGCTGAGCTATAAAACCTTTATGCTTGGTCTGGAGAGATGGCTCAGTTGGTAAAGGACTTGCCTCATAAGCATGAAGACCTGAGTGCAGATATCCAACAATCACACACAAAAAAAATTGGGTTCAGTGGCAAGCATCTGCAACCCCACTGTGTTTCCAGGGAAGGGGGTCAAGCAGAGACAAGTGGGCCCTTGGAGATCACTGGCCAGTCAGTGGGCTCTGATTCTAGTGAAGGACACTGTCTCAAAACCCAAAACAGTAGGAAATGGGTAACGATAGTGGAAGACGCCTAACATCTCTGGGCTCCACATTCATGGTGAATGCATCTCAAAGCCTGCCCCTAGTGGCCAACTTCCTCCAGTAAAGCTCTAGCTTCCAAAGACTCCATAGCCTTTCTAAACAGCATCTCCATCAGGGGACCACACTCAAGCACAGGAGCTTATGAGCAACACTTCACATTCAAACCACAAAAGACACGGGAACCCCAGTCACCCACCAGGCAGAGTGTGCACACAGTCTTTGTAGCTCTCTTCCTCATTATACACATGCTCCAAGTAAACCCTGTGTGTGGTCCCTGGGACCAGAAAACCTGTTACATCAAACCCAGACCGTGTCCACGAATGTCTACCCACTTCTGGGAAGAGTGAGGTGACTGGATGGAGGTGTGTATAAACTGGTGAGTGTGGTGATTGTGTGTATGTGAGGATAGCCTGAGCCACATGGATTCAGTATTTATAGCAGGTACACTCAGACACTGGATCCTATTTCTTTTTGTAGATACATATGGGGGGGGGTAGTGCCAACAGAAACTCCATTTCACACAGCAGTGGCAGCTGTACCCTCAGTGCCGATGGCAATTCCTTCAGTAGATATCACAAGGTGGTGTGTCAAGCAGAGAGAACACATTCTATTTCTGCATTGACTATAGAAAAGATCAGGAATGCCAGAGCTAGCAAGATGTTGTGGTGCAATCATTGGTATGACTGAACTCATAACTGTGATTTGATCTTGATTGCCAACTTGGTTCTCAAGTCACTTGGGAAATGCCTCTAGCAGGGTCTGGGGGACATATTCAGGAAGGACTGGTTGAGGGGAGAAGACCTTCCCCCAGAGTGTGCAACATCTTCTAATGGTGGGCCAGTTTAAAGTGTTCTAAGTGGACTAACTTAGCAGACAAGAGCAGGTGACCTGGTGTTGGTTCCCTGCACCTATATCCTGCATCCCACAACCACTTGTAACCAGCTCCAGGGTATCCAATGCTGTCCCTTGTCCTCCAAGGACACTGCAGACATGCACAAGCAGACACACACACACACACACACACACACACACACACACACACACACACACCTGCACACATAAACAAAGGTCTACGGAAAACTCAGGGTTGCTTTTGCCTGCCTGCTTTCTTGCTGGTGGTAAATGTATCTATTCTGCCGCTGTTGCTGCTGCTAATCTTTGCTGATATCAGACTCCATCTTCATCGGCTTCCAATGTAGACTGAAGACCAGCAGCTCTACCAACATCTTCTAGGCCTCCAGCTCCAGGATTGGGACTGCTGGGGTATGTGCGTCCCAGGCTGAGCATCTTCGCAGTGCACAGTCTCTCCAGCGTGGAGACTACCATTGTCGGACTACCCGGGCCTGTCTGGTGCGTGCCGATCTATTAACTCCCCTTTGTAGTATAAATTCCTTCTACTTGACCTGCGCCTCTAGAGAACCCTTCTACAGAATTGTTTTAGCATCTGGCTCCCAGAGAATAATTGGCTGACCAGGAACACACAATACTGACTTGCTCCTTCCAGAGCAGACTTCTGGACCACCTCGGAAATAGAAGCCACGTTTGTGCTAGAAGACTACAGAAGAGGAAGCAGCCGAATTGATTAGGCAGCTTACTACCTGCACAACACTCTGCATAGTTATTCAAGAGCGAGAGGCATGCTTAACTTCTTTGAAGCATTTTTTGCTCATAAAGAACAGAAGCTGTAAGAAAAAGCAATAAAGGCACATAAAAAAACTGTTTCAAGACTCTCAGATGATGCTGATAAACTCCTGTTAAAAAATATAAAATCTATTTTCCCAAAAGTGAAAAAAAAAAACCTCTATGCAAAAATAACTAGCAAAATTGCTAAGGAGTGGAGAGAGGTAGCCTTGGACTTGTGAGAATTATCAATCTGAAAAGTCTATCATCCAAAGACCTTGTACATCAATACCAGATTTGAATTATGGAGCTGGTCTGCACTTTCATTTACATGGTCCTTCCCCAAGTAGCCAGATAATATCAATATCTTGCATTTATATGACTACCGTCTTCCCAGATGGCTTCATTAAATTGTATGTTTTATGAGACACTCTTTCCGAAACGTGGTCATCTCCGAATGAGAATGATGCTCCTGGGTGACTCGGGCGAGGGGAAAATCGTGTTTTGCATTTATGCCGTCTTTCTACCCACGATCATAAAAACGTTCAGTTAGCAAGCATTGCCTGAGCATCTGCGTGGGCAGAGCCGTAGACAAGTCTGTAGACAGTGACATACGGAAGATTGAAAGGTGTGGTCCCAGAGCTCGCGAGATGCCTCGGTCAGTAATGTGCTTGCCGTGCAGATATGGAGACCTGAGCTTGGATTCCCAGCACTCACATAAAAAGCCAGGTGCAGGAGGCCATGAGGCTGGACTCCTGCCACAAAATTCCCGGAAGCTTTCGGTGGAAGCGGCACCTGGAAGCAAGTTCCAGGGAGGAATAGGGAAGCAAGAGCAGAGGTTTAATCAGATGACGTAGGCAGGTTTAGGCAGGAGAAGCTGAGGTCCCTACTTGGTACAGGAGACCGTGGGGGCTAGGCTTCTGGAGCAAAATTCCTGGGAGCTGTGGGCAGGCCTGGTGCAGGAGGCGGTAGAGCTGGGGGTAGTGTTAGCAGAACACTAATTCATCGTGGGTACAATGAAAGAGCAGGAATTCAGGCGGCGGCGGATGGATTCTAGCAGACGGCAGCGTGGCGGTGATGGGGATGAAGGGCCAGCAGAAGGCTTCACCAAAATGAACTGTGCATGAAGAAGCAACTTGGAACCTACGATCTTGAAATCCAGATAAAAACAGTTTAACGAGGGAATTGTACAACATATGCGATATGAGAGAACCGGAGAGAATACTGTGTGAAGGTTTAAGTGGGAATTGGCACAGAGGAGTAGGGGACTGGTTAACCAAAACTTAGGATATATGAAGAAGCCTTATGAAACCCCACTGTTTTGCACTCTAATTAAAAAATGTAATTTTTAAGTGGGGTGTGTGTGTGTGTGAATTCAAGTACTTAATATTAGTGAACAATGCTGTTGCCAGAAGATATCTGTTATTAAATGAAAATCTCAGTGCTGGTCGTGAATTACTTCCCTGAGATTTATTGGTCAAAGTGGCCCCAGAAGCACCAAAACAACAACAAAAACCAAAAACAAACAAACAAAGAAACAAAAAACAAAACAAAACAAAAAAAACCTTAGGGGCTAGTGCTGTCACTCAGTGCCTGCCGAAACTTGATGACAGGATCCTATCACTGAAGACAGCACTTGCTTTGGTTGCAGGACACAGAGAAGCCAATCTGGAACTGACCAGAAAATTGTGCCCGCTGGCAGCCATGCACAGTGCTGGAAAGCGCTAAGCCAGCTGCTGGGGAAGAAGAGACATCAGTGGCCCTGAATCTTACATGCTGCAATACTGACCAGCTAGGCAGGACGTACCTGCTAATGCAGTGGTGCCAAAGCTGCTTATGGATGCTTTCTTGGATGTGAGACCTGCTCCATGGGAGAGAATTCATGGCTGGTGTTGTGAACACAGCCGAAAACGTGGTTAGGGAAATCATGGGCCCTAGAGGAGAACGTTGTGACATTGTTTTTCCAAATCGTTATGTTGTCAAACCACCTTATGAATATTTAGGTGAATAACTGTAGATTTGTGCTGTAGATCTGTGCTCCCAACCTCACCAGAGAAGTTTCTTATTGTGGTGTGTGGGACCCACCAACCCCACAGCTCCCCAGAGTTTTCTTGAGTGTGAGCAGCAGGAAATATTAGATAGAAGGATTTAGATTGTGAAGATAAACAGACAGAAAATAAAGGATAGCCTCGAGAGGGCCTGGAACCTGTTCCAATGAGCCCTGACTATCTCTGCCCCAGGGTATTTATAGAGACACTAAGGGGTGGAGCAAAAGGCCTCCCCCCAGCACAGCCAAGTGCAGGCCATCTCAGACACCAGCACTCGGGCCGGTGGTCCTAATCATCCTCTCTATGCGGACCTGCTGGGTAAAGCCTCGAGGAAGCTGAAAACGGGCTCCCACAGTGGTGGATAGTGGTTAATGTGGAAGTGCATTCATTACTACTCAAAATGCCAAGAATAAGCAACAGTGAGTGCTTAGCCACACACAGGACATCTATATAGAGCCCCCCTTGCAAGGCTCAGGGAACATCTTGGAAGAGAGGACTAAAAGAATGTAAGAGGGCGGAGGATGGGGAAGAGCGATGTGAACTGCCGCCGCTGGACATGGCTTGGCTACTGCGCATGCACAGCAGATGTAGTTACATGCCCAAGATCAAGCCAGTTAGAAGCCCAGCATAGAAGACAGAGGGCGTCCTGAAGCACCACCTGCAGCTGCAGCTGAGGAGCAGTTGACAGCTGGTGGCTACTGGAGGAGAGCGTGGCCATCTGTACTTGCCCATGCCCCAGGGGATGACCCCACCCCATGCCAATGGGACAGCACTTATGACTCAGTGGGCTATTTTTTTTAATTTAATAACAAAGTTTAAAATAAATTTTTAAAAATGGGGACCTGAAATTGGGAGGGGGATATGATGAGAGACTGAGGGGAATTGGAGGAGAGAGATCAAGATAAATTGTATACATGCATGAAGTTTTCAAATTAAAAAAAATCTAAGTGTGGTTACATGTGCCTGTAATCTCAATACCAGGTAGATGGAAGCAGGTGAATTTTGGGGGCTTTGGGGCCAGCAAGCTGGGCTGACCCGTGAATTCTAGGCCAGTGAGAGACCTTGTCTCAAGGGAATAGTGGCACATGCCTTTAATCCCAGCATTCAGGAGGCAGAAGCAGGCAGATCTTCACGAGTTTGAGGCTAGCCTAATCTACATACAAAGTTCCAGGCCAGTCAGGGAGACATAGTGAGACCCTGTGTTAAAGAAACAAACAATAAGATGGAAAGCAACAGAGGCAGATATTCAGCATCGACCTCTGACCTCTGCACGAATATGCAGACATGTATGTGCACCTGCATACACTCACTACATGAACACACAAACACACATGCTTGTGCACACACAGCATTGTCCCCACCCTCCAGTGCCTCAGTTTTTATTGTGAAGTATACTCACTTCACAAATGTGCAAACTCCTGGGCAGGAGAAGTTTGGGGATTTGATAGAAGTCATAAGAAAGCAATTTTCTTTTCCAGGGTGGGTCTGATACACTTGGACACTACCATCTGCAAATGTTAAAAAGTATATTTCAAACATATACCACGTTTTAAAGTCGAGACTGTATTTACTTAAGAAAGGGAAGATCAGCCCTCTAAAAGGAAAATGAGAAAAGGGCCTATTAAATTATCAATATGTGTTTGTCAATGTTCCCAAGTAAATAGAATTCTGGTCATTATGGTGGAGGAACAAGAACTCTGACCCAGATTAGGTCAGCTGATTTCAGAATTAAATCAATCTTGTAAAAAAAAAAAAAAAAAAAAAAAGCAAGATCTGGGGCCTGTGAGATATCTCAGCAGGCAAAGTAGGCAAAGGAGCTTAGTGGCAGGTCTCATGCTCTGAGTTTGATCCTGGGACCCATATGATAGAGGGAGAGGGCTTATTTCCACAGGTTGCCTTTTGGAGAGAGAGAGAGATAAATGTTTTAAAAAAGAGGAAGCAAAAAAATAAACCAAAACAAACCCTCTGTTAGCTTTTATCTAGGAGTTTCTCCCTAATCATTCCTATTCTTAACAGTATTTGTTATTTTGGGAGTTTTTTTGAGTATAGCCATTCTGATGGGAGTAAGATAGAATCTCAAGTTATTTTTGATTTTCATTTCTGTGGTGGATAAAGACATTGGACATTTTTCAAGCCTTTATTGGCCATTGGTTCTTTTATGGGTATACTACTTTGAGTATATGTGGGTATACATCTATGGGTCTGCATTAGAGGCTAGAGGACAACTTTGAGTATCATTTCTCAGGAACAGCACCCATGTCCTTTGAGACAGGGTGTCTCATTGGCCTGAGCTCACCAAGTAGAGTAGGCCAGCTGGCCAGCAAGCCCCAGGGATCTGCCCGTATCCACCTTCCCAGCCCTGCACCACTGTGCCTGGATATTTTGCATGGGTTCTAGGCACTTTATCAGCTGAACCATTCCCCCAAGGCCCATTTCTTCTTTTGAGAAGTATCTGTTCAGTTGATCAGCCCATTTACTGGTTGGCTTATTTATTCTTTTGGCATTTCATTTTCTTATAAATTCCAGATATTAATCTCCTGTCAGATGACTAGCAAGCAAAGGTTTTCATTTATTCTTCATGGCAGGTTGTCTCTTCTCTCTTCACACTGCTGTTTCCTGTGGTGTACAGAAACCTTTTTACTGTGGTGCAATTCTATCTGTGTCTTCTTTGGATTATTTCCTAAGCTCCAGAGCTAATGATTCACAAATCATTTCCTATGACAAAGGAAAGTTTACACCACCTCAGATTCTGCTATTCAACCCAAATCAGAACGATGGGCCATCTGAGCAAGGGGTGTGTGTGGCTCTGATGTTTACTTAGCTTGTGGAAGGCAAGGGATAACATCAAAGTCCAAAGGCTGTGTCTCTTTCTGGAAGCAATTCTCAGTTGTTTTCAACGTATTAGTCAACTGATGAAAACAGGAGAGGTTCCAGGATGTCAACTTCAAAAGACTTCATCTAATCTCAGGCTGTTTTCTAGTATTCTAAACCTTTGCTTGCCTAAACGAGGACTTTCTTCAGACATGTCTAATATAGTGTTTTTTTCTGTAATAAAACTTAAGTTTTAGCTTAAAAATGAACCATCTAGGTCTGGGGACAGAGCTGAACTGATACAGTGATTGTCTAGCATGATGGAAGCTATGGTTTCAGTCCTAGCGCTGCGTAGACAGGGTGTGGAAATGCAAGCCAATCATTCCAGCACAGCACTCAGGAGGTAGAGGCAGGAGGATCAGAAATCTAAGGTCATCCTTGGCTGTATAGTGAATTCAAGGCCAGCCTAGGATATAGGAGACCCTATCTTAAAGGCAAGCAAGCAAACCAGCACTCCAAATGAAACTGTAACCTCTCAAACACTCGAAAGTCTAAAAACCCTCTCAACAAAATTAAAGCACTAGATTATATACCAATACTGCAAGTGCTGTAGGAATTCAGAGAAGGAAGGGTGTCGTGGTTGAAGACAACCAGAAAAAAACTTCAAGGTAGAGAAGGAGCTTGAAGTGGGCCTTAAGGAATTCTTAGATTATAATAGTCACTGAAAGAGGGCTTTAACCCTAAACGTATCTTAACAAACGGCAGGACTTCCAGAGGCAAGTCAAAGGATAATTCCAACCCAGCATGAAGTTCTCACTGACTTCTCAGCACAAAGAAAAGCAGAGAACAGTACCTTGACTAAGTCCTAGTGATTAAACCTAGTGCAAAGACTGTCCTGAATTCTGAGATAGAGCTCTCTGGTTTAGAGGTAAAATGTCTATTTGAAGAGATAGTAGTAGGCTACAGCTAGTAAAGTGCTTGTCTTGCAAGTGTGAGGACTTGAGTGTTATCCCAAGAATTCATGCTAACAAGCTAGGCGTGGTGTGCACACTGGTAATCCTAGAACTTATGAAATGGAGACAGGCAGATCCCCGGGCTCTCTGGACACCCAGCTTAGCCTACTTAGCTCTAAGTTAAGAGGGAGGCTACCTGAAAAAAAAAGGGGGGGGGGGAAACTGGGTTAAGGGGAGGAGGAAAGAAAAGGAGTTTGGATGGTGCCCAAGAAAGAACTTGTCCTCTGACCTCCACACACATATAAGAGGTGATATAGCAGTGAATGAATAATAGGTGCTTTTCTTTTGTGGAGTAATAACATAACATTTATCTTCCATGTATGTGGTTCTATTTGCCTATCTACCTCTCTACCAACCTGTCTATCATCTATCTGCCTCTATCTATCTATCTATCTATCTATCTATCTATCTATCTATCTATCTATCTATCTATCTATCTATCTATCTATGTGTCTGTCTGTCTGTCTATCTATCATCTATCTATCAATTTATCTCTTATCTTTTCTCTACATATTTGTCTCTACATTTCTGCCCTTTGAAACTATATTAGCTAATAAATCCAAAGACCTGGAACATTCCAGTTGGCTGAGCTTTCTGGTCTGTGGACTTTGCTGTAGCCTTTATCAGGTAGGCTAGGAGGTCAACAGCATCACTGAACTTTAGGGTTTCAGTTCCCTGTCCCCTGCTTGGTCACAGTAGGCAGTGCTAACCAGACTTAGCTTATAATGACGTAGTTAAACTCCAAGGGCTAAACCCAAAACCCAAAAGATCTAGGTCTCAGCACCCAGCCAAACAGTATCTGCTCTGTAGACTTTTCCTTTGCTTTAGAGTCACTTGACACGTTGGCAGCAAAGTAGATGTCAGGCTGTTTACCAGTGTCCTTGCTTGGCAGTGATTAAATAAAGGAATAGTTTCTCGATCCTTCCTCTCTCTATTCAGGCAGTGTGAGGAGGTATTTGGAATGTGACTCCAGCACAGGCAGGGTGAGTTTCCTCCTCAGAGGTCAGCCTTACGTATTTAAAGTCCTACTTCGCTTCTGGATACAGGGTGGAACTATCCCTCTCGGTCACCAAATACCCTCCTCTCAGAACACTGTGGGGAAACAGTGTTGTGGTACAACATGTTAAGGTTTTCTGTTTCCAAAGTTGCCATGTATCTCCTGGATCCTTATTAAAAAATATTAAGGAAACATTTTTGAGGCAGTAAAGGCTGATATTCAGTAAAATATAGTAAGAAATGGGATCAAGACTAAAAAAGAAAACAGTGTTCTAAGAACATCTGCCAGCTATAAAACTGCCAGAATATTACTTTCTAGAATATACAAAGAATTCAAAAACTTAAGCATCAAGAAAGCAAACAATGCAATTAAAAAGTACAAAAAACTTCTCACCAAACAGAGCGTTCTCAAAAGAAGAAATGCAAGTGGCTAAGAAACATTTTAATAAGCGTTTACCATCCTTAGCCACTAGGAAAATGAGGATTAGAAGTACTTGAAATCTGGGGCTGGCTGGAGAGATGGCTCATCAGTTAAGAGCACTGGCTGTTCTTCCAGAGGTCCTGAGTACAATTCCCAGCAACCACATGATGGTTCACAACCATCTGTAATGAGATCTGGTGCCCTCTTCTGGCCTGCAGACATACATGCAGACAGAACACTGTATACATAATGAATAATTCCCCAAAGCATGTCTTCTAAAAAAAAAAGTACTTGAAATTTCATCTTACTCCAATCAGAATGGCCAAGATTAAGACAACAAGAAGTGCTGGTGAAGAAGTGTGGAAAGGAGATCCCTTAGGCACTGCTGGTGGGAATGCAAACTGGTGTATGAAGATTACTGTGTCATTCCTTAGAAAGTTAGAAGTAAATTTACCATATAACCCAGCTATACCATTCCGGGGAATATACCCAGAGGACTTTAAATCCGACTACAGAGACCCATGCTCATCCATGTTCATTGATGTTCTAGTCATAATAGCTAGGGTAGGAAAACAGTAACTGGGGTGACAGGAGATACCCACAGGTGCAGTTGTGGTATGGATGGTGTGGTGGTAACTAACCCCTTTATGATGGGATTTAAGGCCCATTCCCCAGGAGGAAATACATGCTCAATACTCTAAATACTGTCGTGAACCTACTACTGTAATTTTGCTGAGTGGACACAGATTGTTTCAATAGAAACATAGATTAATGTCTATCAACTGATGAATGGATAATGAAAATGTACTTGCAACTGGCTGTTATTCAGCTATAAAGAAAAATAAAACTATGACATTTTCTCATAAGCAGATCCTAGCATTAAATTTTTAGATCTGTATGTTTAATTTGGAGTATATATGGAATACAGGCAACTAGAAAGGGGAGGCTGGTGGTAAGGAGAAATTGATATCTTAGGGGAGCAGAGGTAGTAAAATGTTGGTTACATGAAGGAGAATAATGAAGAGACAGGTTGAGGTTGGGAAAAGGATGAGAGGGTAGGGTAGAGGAAGGGGTAGAGAAGGAATAACTAACATTAAGGACATTTGAAAAAATGTATGAAAGTCCACTATTTTATAAGTGTCATAAATGTATATATTCATATAAAAGTTGAATTGGAATCACCCTACATAGGCTCCTAACAGATGTCATAAGCTGTTACATAAAAATCTCAGTACCAGGTGTGGCATACTTCCCCTTGAGTTGTTGGTCAAGGGTGTTCTAGACACCCCCCGCCCCCCACACACACAACAATATAGGCCATGCTCTTGGTTGCTGACTAAAATTTGATGGTAAGTCCCTATTTCTGGGAAAAAACTAACAAACTCGAACTTTGGTCATAGGGTTTGGAGGAATCAAGATGGTCCTGACCAGGAAGCTTTCCCTATTGGCTGTGTAGCTGCTGGGGCAGAAAAGTTTTTGGAAGTCTTTCCCAGATGTGAACTCTGTGAGCTACAATAACAACTGGTGTGGCAAATATGACCATAGCCACAGCAGTGGCATGAATGTTACAGGGTTAGCCAATCTCTTTCTCAGTCAGAAAGATTGGATTGAAGGCCTACGCCATAGGAAGGAACAAATGCTGGAACTGTAAATCTGGCCGAGGACCCATTACTGGGGAGATCATAGGCCCCAGGGTGAATCTATTATTACTATTTTTACTAACTGGACATTGTATCAAACTTCCCTCTGAATTCACATCTCTAAACCCAGAAATCACTGCAGCATCTAGACTTCATCAGAAAAGTTCCTTTGTGCAGTGGACAGTGGTTAATGCAGAAACTCAGAAATGGACAAAGTAAAGAGAATCCATGACTGTCAGTGTTTAGCCACAAATGAGACATCTTTAACATAGTCCTTCCCCGACAGTGCTCAGGCACCATTGCAGAAGAGGGGACAGAAAGATTGTGAGAGCCAGAAGTCAGGTAGGACCACAGTAAAACATTGTCTTCTGAACGTGGTAGGCCCTCTGCACTCATGAATTCCCAGAAGCTTAAGTTGCCTACACAAACCCTGAAATGAGATGAAGCCAGTCAACATTTCAGTATAGAAGGTAGAGGGGCTCCTGAGCAGCTGTGGACAGTTGATGGGTTCTAGGGATGAAAGTATCAGTTTTCTTTAAGAGTATGGTCCCTGGTAGGTTGGTCATGTCCCAGTGAATGGGCTGTACAAATAGGACTCTCTGGGTTATAAAGGGAAAAAAATGGAACACAAAGCTGGGAGGAGTGGTTTGTTGGGTGGTGAATCTGGGAAAATCTGGGGGAGAAGTAGGGAATAAATATAATTAAAATACATTACAAGCATGAATGAAATTTTCAAAGAATTAATGAGAATATTGTATTTTCTAAATCCCATGCTCTCTCCCATGTATGTACCCCAGTTTTGGATGAATATTCATGTGTATGTACATAAGTAGTGGATGTTGGTATAGGTTATGAAACTATAAAGGAGACCACAGGAGGGGAAAGGAAGCATTAGAGAAGGAACAGAAAGATCCACATGATATATGGAGTAGGTACTGTTGGAAGCTAAAATGGTGGAGACCAGTGAGGGAGAAGGAGGGGAAGAAAGAAAGATGTTTGAAAATGCCCTAGTGAAACCTAATACTGTTATGGTGGAAATCGGGGTTCCCTTTGTGGTTCCTTTGTCTTCTTGATTAAATAATTTAAAAGTAGAGTCAGAAAATTTACTCCTTTTGAGTTGGAACTCGAAGAGTAGGCAGTCTTAGCAGGGAGAGCTATAAGCCACTGCAGGAGGAGGGCTTCAGGGAGGTGCAAGAGCATTATCTCATTTAAGGGATAATTATTCCTCCCATCTCCTTGGCATGTCTTCAGGTAGAACCGACCTTCCTGAGGGATGGTCTGTAGCTGAAGTTTTCCTGTGTCCCAGTCGGGACAAATCTCTCCCACTCACGTCCCCCAAATAAAAACACAGAGACATATTACTTATAAACTGTATGGCCATGGCAGGCTTCTTGCTATCTGTTCTTATATCTTAAATTAACCCATTTTTATTAATCTATAAGTTACCACGTGGCTCGTGGCTTACCTGTATCTTACATCATGCTTCTCCTTGTGGCGACTGGCAGTGTCTCCTCACTCAGCCTTCTTCCACCCGGCCTTCTCCTCTCTCCTTGTCCCACCTACACTATCCTTCCCGCCTGGCTACTGGCCAATCAGCATTTTATTTATCAATAAATCATAGCAACAGTGGTCTCCTGGCCAGATGGTTGAATGTTAGTTAAAATTATTTTTTAAAAAGATATTGGGCTTTCTACATTTTTATTTTGAAGCAGGATCTCACATTGCTCAGGCTAGCCTTGAATGTATGTAGCTGAGTTATCTTGAACTTGTGATCCTCTTGCCTCTACCTCCTAAGCGTTGAGCTTATGGTATGTACCACCGTATCCGTATCCAGTTTTATGTGGTGTTGGATACAGAACTCAGGGCTTCAGTCATGTTAGACAAGCACTCCATTACTTGAGCTATTTCTAGACTATTTTACATATTAATTTTAAAAAAATTGTGTTTATGTGATGTGTGTGTGCATGTATGTGTGTTTGAGTGCATGAGAGGGGAGGCGGGAGGTACCCTCAGAGGCCAGGGGAGCCTGTAAGGTCTCCCGGAGCTAGGATTACAGTTGTTTGTAAGCTGCCCATCACTGAATTCAGGTCCTTTGGAAGAGCAGCAAATGCCCTTACCTGCTGAGCCAACTCCTGTTTTCCACTCTTTAAGTGGCACATTCTTTTTTATTAGCTCATGAGCAGCTGAGCTGTTTGGGGGAAAAATTGAAAGCACAAATTCTATTTTTCATCTTACTTCATCTGAAGAGCTGGGAATGAAGGCCCAGGTTGGGAGGTGACTGGCTGAAGGTCACCTGACAAGTCAGCCACTGAGCAAGGACATGAAGCTGATCCAGCATTATCACCCCTGCCTCCCTCCAATACCCCACTGGAATTGAAATCACTGCAACAGCCATTGCCAAGTGCTGGGGATGACTATTTGATAGTGGTCCTTTCAGTCTGCATGGGATGGTGCTCAGCTTTTCACTTCATCAGCACCGGGAGACAAGGACACAGCTCCGAGTAATATTTCATGCTTAGCTCTGGGTTCCCTCGGTTTTATATTTCTGAACCTTCTTCCAGTTACTTGTAGGGCTTTATGATATAATTTAATTTCAGCTTATGGCTGGCATTGGTACTCAGAAGAGCTGTAATTTGTCCTTTAAATTATTCACCCAGGGGAGTCAATGTTCTTAGAAAACGAGGAGCAGGAACCTATGAGCTTCATCCCAGAAGAGGGACACATGACAGTGTTTCCTCTCTTGCTTGTTCTTTCCCACAATGCCTTATCTCTCGTGTTCAGCCCTGGCTGCTATAATACCTCCTCTTTCTGCAGAACATTTTCCGTGAACAAATAAAGCAATTTATGGAGTATTTACACATTGACTAGTGACTAATTATACACCTGCAAGCCGTGCAAGCATTCTAGACAAGCAACATTCCTCTACATCAGTGTCCCTTAGGAAGGTAACCTGGAGCTGATGGCAGAGGGAAACCATCTGGACAGTCGGTTCTGGCTCTGACATTCAGATCATTCAATGTGGGAGCAGTGTATCATCCGTATGTGGCACCTCTGGGCTTGATTACCTAGCAAAGCTTTTACAAAAGCAATGGCCACCACATGTGGTATTATGAGGTCACTTGTTGGGTAGGTTTTACATAGAGCCAGAAGGGGGTTGTCATGGTTTCTAGTAGAAATGATTAGAGATGAAGTCATAACTGGTCCAAATCTGAGAATAAGTGACTGTTGCCTGCTCATGTCAGGCCTGGCAAGGCTCTTGGAACTCTGCGGAAGAGAGGGAAGGAAAACTGTCAGAGCTGGGGGATATGGGGGGGGGGTAGCTGCAAAGTACTGTCCTCTGGACAAGCTGGGCCGCTGCACACATGAGCACAGCAGCTGTGGCCATCTGCACAAGACCAAAAGAGTCAGAATCCCAGTACGGATGGGAGTATGGATGAGAGATGGGCACGCGAGTCACTTGTACCGCTGGAGAGCTATTGCTTTTGATGGTGGCTGGGGTGGGCGGGGCGTTTTCTTTAGGGGTGTGGAAGGTTTTCCGTGTCCTAATGAGAGCCCCATAGGCATTGGAATGTGGGCAGCACTGATTGGACTCAGTGGGTTATTTAAAAAAGGAGACAGAATGAAAGCGGGAGAGGGATGTGTTAAGGAGTGTGGGTCTATTGTGAGCGGGAGGGGAAAGCTGGTGCAGATATAATCAAGACTCACTGTATGTGCATATGAAATTCTCAAAGAGCACGTGCACATGCGTGTGTGTGTGTGTGTGTGTGTCTCCCTGTGTGTGTGCATGTGTGTGTGTGTCTGTCTGTCTCTCTGTGTGTGTGCCTCTATCTCTCTTCCCCCCTCTCTCCGTGTGTGTGTGTGTGTGTGTGTGTGTGTGTGTGTGTGTGTGTGTGTGTGTGTTGGGGCAAATCTTTGGCAGATACTAGGCCACATTGAGGGGCCCAGAGATGTACCCTGGGCCGTTGCCAACCCTTCTGAAGGCTGCTGTCTCCGTGTGTGTGTGTGTGTGTGTGTGTGTGTGTGTGTGTGTGTGTGTGTGTGTGTTGGGGCAAATCTGAGTTCAGAAGGCACCTGCTGAAGCTTCCAGGTTCTGTGTTCCAACATTGTTCCAGGGACACATGGTGAGATAATAGAAACAGAGACAGTCTCTTAAGAAAGAGGAAGAGACTCTGAGAAAGGGAGTGGGCTAGAGAGATGGCGAAAGACTTATATTCAAAGACACTGGGCCACGAGGCTCACCACCCTTTATAGGTCATGTCCATAGCATTCTCCTCTTGCTTTTGTGTGTCTTGGACTTTTCTCACACATGCTCTGTCTGTTTCGTGTAGCCAAGGTGGGGAAGGGCTTTCTGCCTTTGTCTGTGTCGGCTGGCTTCTGCCACAGGTTATTGTTGATGCTGCAGACTCCAGTCCCCACTTCCCTGCGGCGTGCGTGCGTCTGGGCGCGAGTATGCTCAGTACTTTTCTGTTGCTGCGATAGGATGCCTGACAAAATCATCTTAGGGGAGAACGGGTTTGTTTTGGCTCATGGGTCCGTAGGTCCATCATTGTGGGGAAGGCAAAGCAGAAAGAGTGTGAGGCCAGCCTGACACCTAGAAACCGGAGCGAGAACAGAAAGTGGGGCCAAGTTATACAACCTCAAAGTGCACACCGTGGGATGACGTAATGGATTTCCTTAGCAAGGCTCCATCTCCCGAGGTTCCATAATCTTCCCAAACCTAGTTCCCAAACTAGGAACCTTCAAGCTGTGTGGTGTGTGGTGTGTGTGTGTGTGTGTGTGTGTGTGTGTGTGTGGTGTGGTGTGTGTGTGTGCGTGTGTGTGGTGTGTGTAACAAGCGATGAAGACAGAAGAAAAGGATTGATAGTACTACATTTACAAGGATAATAAGAAAAGGAATTAAATCCTTTCAGCATTTCATTTTTGGCACCAGATAAGTTAAAATGGATTCAGAGGTGTTCTTGGATGAATTCAAACAGAAAATAGACAAGCTATCACATTTCAAGACAGAGTGGCAGCGTAAGCCTGTTAGAATATTTGATGCTGGTGTCCAGAATGAAGTGAGCGGCATGAAAAGTGCTAAGTTAGGCAGAGTTAAAGGAGCCCAGTCTGGAATACCTGTGTTTTGTGGTACCTCAGTGCAGCGCTGTGCAGTACTCAGGCTCTCCCATGATGCTTTTCACACTTGTGTGCACATTTTCGGATGTGTCTCTTGTTGAAGGGTGAACCCTCACGACACTTGCCTTGACGTCTAGGCTCAGCTGAAGAGTTTGAGGTAGGAAAATGGGGCAGGGAGGATCAACCAACATAAAGGAGTTGGTCGGTCACGGGATCCCGGAGGGGTGGGGCGCCGTCCAACATGGTTCTCTAGAGAACTCTGCCTTGATCTGCAGCACCAGCATCCAAGACCACGAGGTAGCCAAGAGAGAGCGAGCCAGAGCGTATTCATCCCAGGTCTTAAGGGGTCCCTGTTTTGGCCACGCTCCCCGGGGGGCAGGTACCTAGCTGTTACCTGCTGTCTCCTAGGGGCGGTGCTTCAGGGTACAGACAATCACCCCTACAGGGAGAATCTAATGACACAGGGCGTTTGAGACTCAGACCTGTGCCAGTTCTCCAGACACCTTCCATTCTCAGCAATCCCCTTTTCTTTCTTAATAAACTGTTTATATTTCTACCACTGCGTGTCTCTGGCCCAACTCTTTGCTCCAGGATGTTGATCTCAGAAGTCTCAGAAGGTGCCCTCTGGACTGATCCACTCCTGTAACATTTGTTGACTGATAAAGTATAGCAGGAGGGGTGATGGGTGTTGTGAGGTGATTCGGATGCTACTTGGTTAGTTAGGTGCATAGCAGAATTGGATCATCCAGAAAGAACTCCCGGGCCCAGAGTATGTACCCAAATGTAAGAGCTCATTTATTGAGGTGTGGTGTTCATTTTTGGAAAACAAAGAATCGGGTCAAAGCATGGGAAGTTGTCTTAGTTAGGGTTTCTATTGCTGTGAAAAGACACCATGACCACAGCAACTCTTATAAAGGAAACTATTTAATTAAGATGGTAGCTTACAGTTTCAGAGGTTTAGTCCATATCATCATGATGGGAAGCAAGGCAGCATGCAAGCAGACGTGGTGCTAGAGAAGGAGCTGAGAGTTCTTACAATTTGATTCACAGGCAACAGGAAGTGGTCTAACACACTGGCCATGCCTTGAGCACATAAGAGATCCCAAAGCCCACCTCCACAGTGACACACTTCCTCCAACAAGTCCATACTTACTTCAATAAGGCCACACCTCCTAAGAATGCCACTCCCTTTTGGGGACCATTTTCTTTCAAACCACCAGAGAAATTGAAAGCAAGAGTGGAGGAAGAGTAAAGGAAGTCATGAAGTCAGACTGGGAGCTGTCTCTAGAGCAGGAATATTCAGAAGCACACATCTGAACACCAGGAAGGTAACTAATCCAGGAATGTGATAACTCATCTTCTCAACTTGATGGGAACAAGGCAATGTTACAGCCCTTGCTGGGATGACCTGAAGGACGCCAGTGAAGGGAAATCTTCACAGTAGACAAAACTCTGGATAGTGCACATATGCACACATTTTGCTTGGAAGGAGAAATGGCCAGATGTATATCTGTATACTGATTCATGGGCTGAGGCCAATGGATTGGCTCGATGGTCAGGGACTTGGAAAAAGTGTGGTTAGTAAATTGGTGAGAATCACGTTTTAGGGAATAAGTATGTGGAAAGATCTCTTTAAATGGGTGAAGGATGTGAAGATACTTGTGCCCCATGTAAATGCTCATCAAAAGGTGACTTCAGCAGAAGAGTTTAATAATCAAGTCAGTAGGATGACCCCTTCTGTGGATAGTCAGCCTCTTTCTCCAGTCATCCTGATAGAATGGGGACTATGAAGATACAATCACAACACCAGTTAGGAGACAATAGCCTGGAGGGCTGAGGCAGCGTTCTCCAGAAGGCAGTATGTGCTTTGAATAAGCATCCATACATGGTATTACTTTTCCTATATCTCCTATTCACAGGTCCAGGAGTAAATGGGTGAAATGGGAATGATTCCACTCATTATCACCCCTAGTGACCCACTAGGAAAATTTTTGCTTCCTGTTCCTACAACCTTATCCTCTGCAGGCCTAGAAGTTTTGGTCATGGGTAGGAGTACCCCTTGTAGAAGACAAAACAAATGTTCTATTGAGAAATTAATGCTCAGGCTTCCTCCTGACCTTTGATGCCCTTAAGTCAACAGGCTGAGAAAGGAATGACAGTGTTAGGAAGAGTGAAGGGAGAAAGTGGATTGCTTCTCTACAGTGGAGGTAAAGAAGATTATTATGTCTGGAGTACAGGAGATCCTGTAGGGTGTCTCTTGGTATCACTGTGTCCTGTGATTAAAATCAATGTGAAACTATACCAATCCAATCCAGACCCTTCAGGAATGAAGGGATGGGTCTCTTCTCCAGGATAAGAGGAGCCAAGACATGCTGAGGTACTTGCTGAGGGTGGAGGAAAAACAGGATGGGTGGTAGAGGAAGGTAGTTATAAATAGAAGCTAAGGTCACATGACCAGAAATGAGGATTATAACTGACATGAGTGTTTCTGTCTTATTTTGTTGAAAACATATTGATTCTGATATTTTCATTTTCTTTCCTCTATTTCTTTATCATGTAATGTAACATCAGCCGAGATAATAGCGATGGTTAAGTGCTATTAATTTATGTTATCATATTTAAAAGACTAAGCATTCCACAGGAACTTTGCCACTTATTCTACAAATACACCATGCACTCTCAGTTTTACGTATGATAGTTATATTATGTTAGGCAAAATTATGGCCCGGTTATTGTTTTCATCTGGAAATTAAGCATGATGTAAGGAGATACAATTGAGTGTCAAGTTGACGATGGTTAGCCTTGGGACAGCTGATCTTCGTTGTCAACTTGAGTGTATTTGGAATCAACTAAAGCACAAGATCCTCGGCACTCCTGGGAAGGATTTTCTTGATCAGATTGTTTGAGGTAGGAAGACCCACACTAAAGCTAGGTGACCCTGTTGGTGGTAGCCTACATAGACGAACATGAAAAAAAAAGCTTTGCTTTCTGCCTGTTTGCTCTCACTCTCACTGGCAAGTTCATCTGCTCTGCTGCTGCTGCTGCT